TGCACCCATGTCATGCAATGCCACGGAGGTCAGAAGAGGGCTTTTGATTCCCCTGGAACTGGAGTTAAGGACGGTTCGTAGCCACCACGTGGGTGCTGGGAATTGAGCCCGGGTCCTCTGCAAGAGCAGTCAGTGCTCTTAACCACTGAGCCATCTCTCCAGCCCCTATTTTTAATTGAATTTTTGTGATTTTCATACAATATAGTTTGATGGTATATATATAAAATTTGATGATTGATGTATATTAATGATTTTGATATATATCAGTCTTTTCTGAGATTGAAGGCCAGTGCCTATTCTTGTTCTGTTCTGTTGTGAATGCAGGAGAAGTTGGCCCTTCGACAGCAGCTGAATGAAGCTAAGCAGCAGCTCCTGCAGCAGGCAGAGTACTGTACGCAGTTGGGAGCTGCCACTTGCACCCTCTTGTGGGGCGTCTCCAGCAGTGAAGAGGTGGTCAAGGCCATTCTTGGAGGAGTAAGTTGTCTGTGTACTGTTGAATGTGCTTGATAACCTGGCAGAGACCGTACGTCTGCCACCACAGCAACTACTGAGCCCTGTCTTGCTGTAGATTTGCTTTAGCTCATTCATTAGAAGGCCAGATGCCCAGTGTTCACCTTGCCATTGGGCACTCTGGGGATGTGTAAGATGAAGTGCCATCCTTTCTGACCCAGCACCCAAGGTGAATTTTGGATATATTAACCTCTTTAATGTTTATACATAAAGAGTTTAATAGCATATAAAGTGCTTGTATGTGCTTTGTCTCGTGGGTAATCTAATACTTAATTTAAAATGTTATCTAACATGTATATGTATCTGTATATGTGTGTGTGGAACTTCCCAGAAGAGGAGGGATTTGGAATGGGTCTTGATGAGTAGGTAGAAATGGCAGAAAATGGGGAGGACAGCTCAAGAAGACAGCCAGTCACGCAGTGGCATAGGGCGAGAAGTCTGTTTTATAGCAGGAGGGCACTGGGCAGGGTGGAGGATTCATGTAACTCTAGTGGGAGTGTGGCTCATAGGGTATTGGGTTGGGAACTTTGTGAGCTGAGATAGCCAGACTGGTGTGGATTTTACCCTGTCAGTAGGAGGACTGTAGATTCTTGAAGAATTGTCAGTGAAAGGGTAATATAGCACGTGAGCATGGTTTGAGGAGAATTAATCTGATGTGAGCTGGTGCGGCCTTGCAACTCAACAGAGTCCTGGACTGCAGGGGAACAGGAGGAGGAGGAGAGCCTGGAGATTGAGACCATGTGGTATGAAGGTACAGCTGAGGGAAGGGAGCACCTCGGAAGGTTGGGCTTCGAGGAGAGGGTTTTTGTAGGAAGCCAGTGGAGCATCAGTCATCACAGCAGTAGTCCTTGACTTTCAGTGGAAGGAGTTAAATGTCTTTTTGAAAGGTTGTTGAGCCTTCTTAAAGTATAATTCCTAGGACTGCATGAGACTGTCTCAGAAAAATAGAGATAATTTCCACATTGTAAAATTCACCCACTGGACTTTTGTACAGTTTAGTAGTTTTTTAGAAAGTTTCTAGAGTTGTGAGACAATCACCATAGTCCAGTCTTAGAATATTTCTCTTATCTAGGGAGCTCCCTTATTCTGCTTTTAGTTTTTTTTTTTTTTTTGCCTTTTTGAGACAGGGTCTCTGTAGCCTCAGCTGACCCGGCACTCACTATGTAGACCTCAATATCACAGAGATCTGCCTGCTTCTTTCAGTTTTTTTAGGGTGATAAAATGAGCCTTGGTTTGAAAATTAATTTTCAGGACCCTGGTAACCTTACAGAAGTTACCCAGTGGTTCTGCAGGTGTGGGAAGGGTTTGTTTTTTTAAAGTAATGGAGATTCACCATGATGGTAGAGCCTGTTGACTTGGTCTTTCTCTAGTACATGTCAGAGTTTCAGTTAAGATCTTCTTGAACAAAGCTGTGTGTTGTTTTCCCACATGCTTTCTCCATCAGGCAGATCTCACCTCTCATCAAAGAAGCAGGCACATGGTTCTGCTACAGAGAATCACAGCTGCTCAAAGTATGGAGAATCAATGCATATGTACCATGGAGTGCCCACCTCCAAATGGGACATTTTAACACACCCCTACCCCCAAGGCTCAGGGAACAACCCAGAAGAGGGAACAGAAAGGCTAAAAGAGAGCAGAGGTCAGAGGACTGCTGAGAGAGGGTGTCTTTTGGACATGACAGGGATGTTGCACTCATAAACTCAATGATCAGCAATCAAGAATATGCTCTATAGACATGGCCACATTCCAACTTGATGGAGGAAATTCCTTAACTGAGGTTCTCTCTACCCAGGTATGTCAAGTTGACACTAAAGCTATCCATCACAGTTGACCCCTTGTCAACTTGACACACAAACACATCACTACTAAACATAACCTTTCTAATTCCTTATCCCCCAAAATCTTATGTTAATATTATTACATAAAACATAGTACAACTTTAAAAGTCCCACCATTTTTATACATTTTTTAAAATTTGTAAATACTTTAAAAGTTCAATGTATCTTTAAAAGTCTTTTAATTGTGGGCTCCTGTAAAATCCAAAACAAATGTGGTTTGAATGAGAACGTCCCCATAATGCTCCAAGTATTTGGACATTTTGCTCCCTGTCGGTGGTGCTTTTAAAGAAGGTTTTAGGACATGCAGCTTTGCTGGAGGAGAGCTGTCACTGGGGAGCGGGCTTGGAGAGTTCTTAAGCTTTGCCGGATTTCCGGTCACTCTCCACTTCCCGTGTCTGCTTGAAGAAGATGTGATTACTTGGGTTTCTGCTCTGGCCACCTCCTTTCCGTCATGCCTCTCCTACCATTATGGGCCCTCATCCCTGGAACTGTAAGCCAAATAAACTCTTCCTTCCATTAGTGGCCTTGGTCATGGTGTTTTATCACAGCAACAGAGAATGACTAATACAACATCACTGATACTGTGTTTGTATGTGTGTGTACGTTTGTACCTGTATGTGTACACGTATGTGTGTGCATTTATACTTGTATGTATTTATGTGTATATAGTTATACCTGTATGTGTATATATGTGTGTGCGTTTGTACCTGTATGTGTACACGTATGTGTGTACATTTATACTTGTATGTATTTATGTGTATATAGTTATACCTGTATGTGTATATGTGTGTGCGTTTGTACCTGTATGTGTACACGTATGTGTGTGCATTTATACTCGTTATGTGTATACATGTGTATTTATACCTCTGTGTATGTGTGTATATCTATACTGTATTGTGTATGTGTGTATTTATACCTGTATGTGTATGTATGCATTTATATCTGTATGTGTGTATGTGTGTGCATTCATACCTGTACATATGTGTCTTTCCAGTGATCTTCGGGTACTTTTTGTTGCTCCTGCGTGTCCCAAGCTATTTTCTCTGCTCTGTCAGCGAACTTTTTTAAAGAAAAATTTTAATTCATTCTTTGACAATTTCACACGTATAAAGTGTCTCTTGATCATATCCAACCCACATCCTCCTTCCCATTCCCCACCCCTGTGTTCTTTTTTCTTTAATACTCCACTGAGTCCAGTTAGTGCTCTCTGCATGTACATGGGTGTGGGGCCAACCACCAGAGCATGGGCAACCTTCCAGTGACCAGAGGGCCCCCCCCACCAAATGATTTACCCTTCCTTGGCAGGGGAATTCCCAGTCATGCCTCAGCTAGTGGTAGAACCTCATAAGCCTTTCCATGCTGGAATGTGGACTGGCTTGATCTTGGCCAGGTAACCAACCACAGCTGTTGTGAGTATGTGAGTTTAGGGACCATGTTGTGTTCAGAAGACAGCACTTCACAGCATTCCTTTCCATTCTCTGGCTCTTACATTCTTTCCACTCCCTCTTCCTTGCTGTTCCTTGAGTCTTGCGAGGTTGATATAGATGGTCCATTTAGGGCTGAGCCTCAACTGTCACTTCTCAATACTTAGCCCAGTTAGGAATCTGCGTTGACTGCTGCCATCACTGGGAATGTTCCGTAGTGGCACAGGTATTTTACTATTGTTCCTCTAGTTATAGCAAGGCTTTCTCTGTAGCCTGCACATCTGCAATGTTTTTATACTGGCTTCTGTGGAAAGGTGTGACATGACCATTCTCAAACTTTTAGGACAAAGCATTGAAGTTTTTCAACATCACTGGGCAGACGATGGAGAGTTTTGTGAAGTCACTGGATGGAGATGTTGAGGTCGATTCCGATGAAAATCAGTTTGTGTTTGCACTGGCTGGAATTGTAACAAGTAGGTGACTCTTTTTAAATGTAGTGATGTGTATTGTGTTGGTAGTTACAGTTAGGTGGGTGTCAGCATCTGGAGGAGTGTTTTCAGATGTCTGTGCTGAGCCTCGTGCCTCAGTAAGACAGTTTCAGTGCCAGGTAAGTGCGTTTTGAAAAAGCCCCCCAGGGGATTGTGATGACTCTCATTCATAAAGAATGCTGGATCTAAAGGAAGCACAGGCTTGTTTGCATGTTATTTATTCATAAGCAAATCGTAAATATGGCTGTTGTTTTATTCAGGTTTAGTTAAAGCTAAAACTGTAAGTGAAGCTTAAACTCAATTTAAATAATCCTAAAAACTTGCTGGACGTGGTGGTACATGCCTTCAGTCCCAGCACTGGGGAGGCAGAGGCAAGTGGATCTCTGTGATTTCGAGGCCAGCTTGGTTTACATAGCAAGTTCCAAGTCATCTGGGGCTATACGGAGACCCTGTCTCAGAAAAAAAAAAGAATCCCAAACTTGAATAGTCTTCAGCAAATTTCTCCTGAAAGCTAATCAGTGAAACTTATCTCTGAAGAAAGATGACAGTAAAATTTCATAGCAAAAGGAGCCAGGTGTGGTGGTGCAAGCCTGTAAGTCCAGCCCCAGGAGGCTGAGGCAGGAGGATCAAGAGTTTGAGGCCAGCCTGGGCTACAAAGCAAAGACCCTGTCTTAAGAATAAAAAACAGCCGGGTGTGGTGGTGCACGCCTTTAATCCCAGCACTTGGGAGGCAGTTCAAGGCCAGCCTGGTCTACATGGTGAGTTCCAGGACAGCTGGGGCTACAGGGAGACCCTGTCTCAAAAAGACAAAAAAGAAGAAAAACAAGGTGGGTGTGGTGGTGTAGGCATGTAATCCCAGCACTCAGGAGGCAGTGGCTGGTAGATCTCTGTGAGATTGAGACCAGGCTGGTCTATAAAGTGAGTTCCAGGCCATTTGTGGCTACAGGGAGACCCTGTATCTAAATAAATACAACACCCTCAAACCTTCAAAATTATGAGAAATAAAACCTACAGACCAATGATTCTTAGTGTACATGGTGAGCACTAGTGGGTATTAAATCCCTTTTTTCTGAAGTCAGTGACGTGGTTAAATAGTGGCCTTTTATTGCTGTTGTACTCTTAGGGTTATTTCCTGCTGTTAGAGAGAGATCATTTTCTTTTCTTCAGCATTATTATTTGTCTGTGTGTATGTGTGTGTGCATGTGTGGATGCATGCTTGTATGTATATGTACAAGTACACATGCATGTGCATGTATATGTGCATGTGTGTGGAGGCCCAAGTTGACAATGGGTGTCTTCCTTGACACCCAGTGGTAGAGGCTTTCGTTGAACCTGGAGCTTGCCAATTCTGGCTAGTGTAGCTAGCCAGCTTTTGCCTGGGATCTCCTGTGTTTGCCTCCCGAGTTCTGGGGTTACGGGCAGCTGCTGGCTTTTATGTGGCTTCTGGGATCGGAACTCAGGTCCTCATGTTTGTGCTTTGTCCACTAAGCCACCTCTCCAGTCCTGTGTTGTTATTCTTTTACTAAGTCTTTATGAGGCACATCCTGTGTATACTTTTTCTACTTTTTCTTTTGAGACAAACTGGGCTCAAACTTGTAGTAATCCTCCTGCCTCAGCTTCCTGAGTGCTGGGATTGTAGGTGTCACCACCACAGCTGGCTTTTTTTTTTTTAAAGAATCTGTTAAAGGTTGGTAGTGTTTCTGTGACGGATGCTGAGAGTTGATGGATGCTCAGAGTGTGGGGCCCTGGCTTGGCCAGCACCTTGTCTGAGGCAGGGCAGCCTTCTGCCTGCTCATCACAGCATCTGCACTCTCAGTCTTCTTGTCTGAGCTCCCGAGTGCTGGGATCAAAGGCCTGTGCCACCACACAGGCCTTTAACTCTGTTTGAACAAAGGCATTTGTACATTTGATGATTAAGTTTTCTCTCTGTGGGTGACTCCAAAGGTCTGTGCTTTTGCCTTTTGATGGGTTGTGGGTTTAAGATGTCTGTATTTCTGGTTGGTGTGGCGACGAGGCAGTCAGTAGTCAGCTAGAGGGTCGAGCAGCCTGTGCTTGGTAGTCAAGCTCACATGGCTTTTTCTCATGTGGTAGCTCACATGGGAACTCTCATGAAGAGCTGGAAAAGGGCACTTGCAGGTTGGCCTGAAAAGATTCCAAACTGATGGTGCTTCCCTGAAGTGCTGACTTGCCAGGGCCATGGCGACTTTCGCCTCTCGTGCTGAAACCATTCAGTGGGGAGGGAGGCAGCACTGTGGAGACCATGGACTAGGGGTCCCACAGCTCCTCTTCCCTATGAATCCAGAGTCTGGCAGTTTCACCGACAGCTCTTTCAGTTCTTTTTCATCTCTTTGTAGTTCTGAGAATTCCAACAAATGTGTGTAGTGGTGTGACTCCAGGTAGGGTGTGAGCACCTGGTCCTCATCCTGGACCGCATCCTTCTTCCTCCAGTGCTCAGCCACACACCTGCTCTGGTGGCTTTTCTGACTGGTTTTGAGCACCTGCCCCAGGTTGAGTGCTTGTTTCACATCTCTGCCTGGAGGCTGCGGCCTCTTCCTTCAGGGGCTTCACAGCTAGCCTTAGGTCTTTGATGTGCTGCAGAAAAGCTGATATTTTGCAAAATTTCCCCTAGTCGGCCCTGGGCAAGAATGGAGCTGCGCTTTCCAGTTTACCATGTTCAATGGAAAACTGCATTGCTCAATGTCCTACTTGTCTAGTCATTGCCCCCAGTGGTGTTTAGTGTAGCTGCAAGCAGCTTCCTTTAGGACACAGTGGTCCACTCTCCAGGTGTAATGCCTCTGGACGGCATTTCTTCACCTGCTCTGATGGACAGATGTCTTGGGACTCTCCCACTGGACTGTGGTGGGTCATAGTACATGTGAAATGAGGAATTATTCAGCATAGGAAAGTGATTGTTTCCAGCAGCCTAGTAAGAGGGCAGAGGAAGAATGGAAATCCCACGAGGACTGACTTGTTTAACTTGTAAGTGGGAAACTTGCTTTTCTAACGCTCTTCCTACTTTGGGAAGATTGAAAATCGTAATTGCATTCCTTGCCTCTTAATTTTGGCTTGTGAATTTAAATAACATTTGGTAATAATTGTGGTACCACATTATTTATTTATTTGTTTTTCTGAGATAGGCTTTCACTAAGTAGCCCAGGGTGGCCTCATACTCACTATATAGCCCAGGCTGGCCTCAAACTTGCAATCCTCCTGTCTCAGCCTCCCAAGTGTTAGGATTGCAGGTGTGTGTGACCTGTGCCCAGATTTTTGTTTTTTATTGAACCTAGAACTGGTTTCATGCATGCAAAGCAGGTACTTACCACTGAGTTAGGCCCCAGCCCCAGCCCCAGTGTTACCTTTTGCTTGTTGATATTTTGTGGCAGGACTGGATCTGGCTTAGTCTTCCATGGACTTGCTGGTTGCACAAAATTACCAGCAGAGCCCCTTTGTGTCAGTTCCTGTCTTTTCTCCTGGCCTCTGGTCCTTTGCCTGATCCTGGTGTTTGTGCTAACACAGGGCAGCAATGTGGTGGCAGGGCAGAAGACATGGTAGACTGAGGCCCCACGTCCATCTCTGCTTCTGCCATTGACCAGCCCTGTGTTCACTCTTGCATTTCTACTCTCAGTTTACTCTTCTGAGAAGAGTCTTAGGTACCAGATGCTCATTCATGTCTGCCCAGGGCCAAGAATTATGTGGTTTTGGAACTTGAGCCTGTAGGTCTTCTGACGTTAGATGGCCTAAGCCTGCGGTGAAGTTGGTGAGCAGACATGAGACTGTTTCTACCTTTGGCTTGTATGGATCATGCTGTGTGGACTTTGGCGTACAGGTTCCTGAGAAGACATCTGTTTTCGCTCTCGGGTCTACACCAGGGAATGGAACGGCAGTCTGTTGTACCGCGTCCATGGTTTTGAGGAGCTCCAGGCTGTTTTCCACAGTGACTGCACCATCCTGCATCTGGCTGGCGCTTCCTCATGTCTTCAGTTCTTCTCCTGGGCTTGTGGCTGTCTTTGTTGGTGGTGCTGGTTGGTTCTTTGAGCACTTGTTTGACTCTTATGCTGACTGAACTGCAGAGAGATCATGAGGGGTCCAGGGTCCTCAGCATTGCTGTTGGGCCTCCTGAGGTGGGTGTGAGAGCTGATTTCGTTTTCAGGACTGGTTGGCATGGTATCCTGCTTGTGTCTGGATCACCTGTCGGTTTATCTGCCAGGGCCACAGCTAAGAAGAAGCCTCTGGATTCTAGTAACAGAGTAGGAAACTAGCGGTCTGAGGCACCAGGAGAAGATACTGCAGCCTTGATCCAGCCACAGCACAGCCAGCCTTGGGCCTCACACTGTTTAGATACAGATTTTATACACAGACCGTGTCTGGTTCTATGGGGTTGTGTGTGTGTGTGTGTATGTGTGTGTATGTGTGTAAAATTGTTTTTTGAGACATGATCTCCCTGTAGCCCCAGCTGGCCTCTACCACACAGAGATCTGTCTGCCTCTGCCTCCTGAGCGCTGGGGTTAAAGGTGTGCTCCACAACGCTACAGGCTGTCCAAGCCGTTTTTTCAGGATGGATGCGTACTGAACCAAGGAGACCACTGTGAGGCACTCTGTCCTCAGGCAAGTGTGCTGAGGACAAGTGAGGTGCTACACCCAGGCACTGGCTTACAAAAAGGATGAGAGTGGTAGCTGATCATCTGTCAGCTGACTAGAAGAAAGGGCTGGGTGTTTCCTGTTAGCCACAGGCACTGGACTGCTGTGCTATCAGGTTGCAGTTGACCTTAGCAGAAGATAGAAGACGGGCAGGTCAACTGTCTCAGGACAAGTATGTCCTGAGACAGACCTGGGCTCTCATAGTCCTGCTGTGTGGGGGTGTCCTGTGCATTGTGGGATGTCTAGTGATATCTCTGCCTCTGCTTGTTATGTGGGCACAGGCAGTCAAGTGCAGCAACCCAAAGTGTCTGCAGAGGTTGCTGGAGGCAAAGCTGTCTCCACTCCCTAGTGTAAGTAAGGCCTACCTTTTTTTTTTGGTCTTTTTGAGACAGGGTCTCCCTGTAGCCCCAGCTGTCCTGGAACTCACTATGTAGACCAGGCTGGCCTTGAACTCACAGAGATCCGCCTGCCTCTGCCTCCCGAGTGCTGGGACTACAGGCCTGCCTTTTTATACACATAGTTAGAAAACTTCATGATGGGCTGGGTCTGTTGAGAGATGTTGTGAGACCACTGGAGGCCTTTTGGTTTCTCTTCCATGGGCATGGTTCTGACATTTTTTTTTTTTTTGGTCTTTTTGAGACAGGGTCTTCCTGTAGCCCCAGGTGGCCTGGACCTTAACTGTGTAGACCAGGCTGGCCTTGAACTCACAGAGATCCGCCTGCCTCTGACTGAAGGCATGCACTACCACGCCCAGCTGTTCTAACATGTTTGATAGAGCTCATTCATGTAAGTGGTCTGGCTAATTCAAAATACGTTGGCATCTTCCACCTATAATATTCGGCTAGTTATAAAACCCTCCTAATCTTCTTGTGTTGGTCGGGCTTGGGTAATCTTCCTGCCAACGCTCCTCAGTTAGTGGAGCTGGTCCTACATAATAAACTGCAGTTCTGTGGAACTCGAGTTTTTCCTGGGAAACTTGTGGTCTCCCTTTAGCTGAGTCAATGAAGCAGTCAAAAGATGGGTCTTAAGAGTTTTCCAGCTCAGGGGTGTGTGCAAGATTAGATGCAAACTGAACACAAGTAACCCTTTGGGGCCACATGTGCCCTTCACATGGGCATGCGCATAGGAGAATGTTGGGGTCCTCTGTTATGCTGTGCTGCAGATTCCTTTCATACCAGAGTGCCTTCCTGGCATCCTCCCTGACTCTTCTTTTAAAGTGCTCGCCACAAATACATGCCCTCCGGCACAGGAGCTACCCAGGTCAGAGACTGGGACCCGGAGATCAGGTCAGAGACTGGGAGATCAGGTCAGAGACTGGGTCCCAGAGATTGGGTCCCAGAAAGCTGGATCAGCAGAGCGCTGGACAGCAAGGAGCAGAGATACAATAAAGCAGTAAACACAGACTAAGCCGTGCCTTGAGTCCTGTGTCTTACTACCGGTGACCTGATCTCACTGGAGAGCAGCACTCTCCGTTACCGACCCACGGATACCCCAGCTTTCGCCGCCTCTGTGCTTCTTCCCTGTGGAGTTCACTGGCCAGAACTCCGCAATCCTGAGGAAGGGCACAAGGGTGTAATAGAGGCGGGATTCTGACTAGATAATACTCTAGTAGCAGAGGAAGCTCTCCGCTCCAGAGAAGTGTGTAGCCATCAGCTACAGCCAGCATCAGAGAAGTCTGCGCACCTGCCGTTTCCAGAGAGGTGCGGCTGGCTAGGCCCGCCAGCGGCTAGCCAGCGGGACCAGGTGTGCGCGCACACCTAACCCTGGGCCACATCCAGAGTGAGTGCGCCTGGGAGCCCAGGCGCGCTCCCCACATCTCTTGCGGCCAGACTCACGCCAGGTGTGGCGGAGACCCCAGGGTGCCTGCACACACCACGCCGGGGTCTAGCGACCCGCCCCATAGGAGAAAATAGCTTGGAATTTCAGTGACCCCAGTAGACATAAACTTCTGATGAGAAGGCTGAGGACAGGGCTGTCTTTGGGTCCTCCAGAGAAATGCAATAATGGCTGTTACTTTTCATAGATCAGGGGAATCCACATCCTCTGCTGTTAGGGTTGTAAGTAGGTGATGCTGGGTGATTGCAGGGACTGGGGGGAATGATTAGTGCTTTCCCTTTCAGCTGGCACAGCTGGCCGTGTCTTTCTGTGGTGTCAGTGTTGCAGGGCATCAAGAAGTCAGGCAAAGACTAGAAGACTCTGTTTGGGCACTTCTGCCTTTTGCTTCAGTTTTTTTTTTTTTTTTTTTTAATATATGGGACGCTTCACGCATTTGTGTGTCATCCTTGCGCGGCTGCCATGCTGATCGTCTCTGTATCGTTCCAATTTTAGTATACGTACTGCTGAAGTGAGCCCTTGCTTCTGTTTTAGAATCTCTGACCATTTATTGAACCACACATAAGATACTCATGTCAGCCCTGAGTTTCATGTTTGACATTTTTCTGAAACGTCTCACTTCTGCTGTATCTTTTTCCATTTTTCTCTTGACAGAGTCTCACTCTGTTGCACAGGCTCAAGGGATTTTCCCACCTTTGCCTCCTCAGCTGGGATCACAGGTGGGCACCATTGTGCCCAGCTCTGCAGCACCTTTTGTCTCTCAATTCTATTTGCAAAATAAATTCCTATCTATGAATGTTTTCAGAGTTTGCGTCCTGGAGAAGGAACATTTCTTCTTGTGATCATGGTCTCAGAGAAACAGTTAAACAGTGAGAGAAAGGAAAGGTGTGGGGAAATGACCTTGCAAGAGTGAGCTAGAACTGAGGGGGAAACTCGGAAATAGGAAGGAGCAGACTCTGCGCTTGTAGACACGCCATAGGGATGTGCGGACTTGATGTTGTCATGTGGACCACCAGGTGCAGAATCTGGCTGGCAGCAGAGCTCCAGCACCGTGTATCTTACCATCACTGTCTTGCTGAGCTTCTCAGTGGTTTGCACTCCTCAGTGGAAGCCACCTAATTGGCACAGACAGGCTTGGCATGCAAAGACACAGAGGGTGTAAGAGATGAACTTCTGACAGGGGTCACTTCGCCTGTGAAGACAGCAGCAGCATGGAGAGGAGCCCTTAGAGTCAGCCCCACGGGGCTTCTTTCAGATCTGACTTCCAAGCACAGGAGTCAGGTCACCACAGTGGAAGTTTGGAAACTGAATCTTAGGAGCCACTTCCCAGCAGGACTGGGTATTCCTTCCCACTCTGCAGCATTTTCTATAGATAGTGCATAGAGGTTAAGTTCTCATGTGATGATGACCCACAGCTTTGGCCCTGTCCTGGCCTAGGTAGTCAAATAATTGATAAGAAGATTCTGCCTGTAGCTAGACAAATGCAAAGAAACAGCCCCCTGCTAAGGCTAAGAACTTGGAGAAGACGCCCATAGAGGATGCTGTTTCCTTTAAAAGGTAGTGGACAGTGTCTGTGCTGTGGATGAGAGGGCGTAGCAGAAAGGCCCAGGAGGAACAGTCGTGATGAACAGCCAGCTGACCATGACACTTGAATCTGTGTTCCTATTAGGAACTGTTTGTTCTGCCACAGGTCCTCACTGTGTGGTCCAGGTGTGTAGTTGAGACAAGTTTCAGGTTCATAGCTCTCTAGGCTCAGCCTTTCAAGTGCTGGCATTCCAGGTGTGTACCTCCATGCCCAGCTTGCCTTGCTTTTTAACAGCTTTATTGAGGTTTAATCTACTTACCACACAATCTGCCAATTTAAAGGGAAATGTTTGGTTGTTTTTAGTATAACCATATAGTTGTATGTATATTACCACAGTCAGCTTAAAAACATTCATCTACACAAAAAGGAACCTCATTGATCTGACCTGTCCCTTCTCAGTCCTCCGGCCCCTGGAAACAGCCAACCTGGTCTATGTCCGTAGATCTGCTTTGCTCCTTTGAGTCTGGCCTGCTTGGTTTTCAGGTTCCATTCACTGTGGAATGCCTCTGTGGAGGTGGAATCACACTCCAGTGTGTGGGTGTGCCGTATTTCCTTTGCCCACTCACCAATGATGGATACTGGGTTATTTTCCCTTTTCAGCTATTTTGAATAATGATGTTATGGGCGTTTGTGTACAAGTTTTGTGTAGACATAGATTTTCATTGCTCCTGGGCATGCAGCTAAGGATGGAATTGTTAGGTCATGTGGTAGGACTTTAACTGTTTGGAGAACTGTTAGGCTATATTCTTTTTTCCTTTTCAAAATATTTTAGTATTTTTATGTGTATGAGTGTAATGCCTGCATGTATGTTAGTGTGCCCATGTCATGCAATGCCCATGGAGGTCAGAAGAGGGCGCCGGATATCCTAGAACTGGAGTTATGGATGCTTGGTAGCTATCATGTGGGTGCTGGGATGTGAACTGGGGTCCTCTGCAAGAGCAGCTAGTGCTCTTAACTGGTGAGCCATCTCTCCAGCCCACGCATTGGCTATTGTCAACAGAAACTGAAGCTTTTTACATTGCCGCTAGCAGCGTACAAGGGCTCTCAGGTTTCCATATGGTTGCCAGCATTCATTATCTTTGATCATAACTATACTAGTAGATCTAAAATGCTATCTTGTGTTTTTTTCAATTTAAGATTTGAAAAATTTATGTATTCAAGTATTTTTCCTGAATGTATATATGTGTACCACATCTATACAGTGCCCACGGAGGCAGAAGAGGGTGTCAGAGCCTCCAGAACTGGAGTGAACAGATGGGTGTGAACCACCATATGGTACTGGTAACTGAACCCAGGTGCTTTTAACCCCGAGCTACCTCTCAAGCCTTTATTTATTTATTTATTTATTTATTTATTTATTTATTTATTATTTCACAGCGAATGTGTAGAGGTCAGAGAACAACTTGCAGGAGTCAGTTCTCGCCTTCCGTCATGTGGGACCTGGGGATTGAACTTAGTACAAAGAAAGCCAGGCTTGGCAGCAGTAGACTTTGCCTGCTACTGTGGTCATCCTGGTTTTCATCTGCGAGTGCGTGATGACCAGTGATGCAGAGCAGCTCAGTGCTTCTTGGCCTTTGTACACCTCCTTTGTTGGCTGGGTTTGGGTTTATTTTTGTTTATTTGTTTTGTCTGATGAGACAGGGTCTCCCTGTAGCCCCAGCTGTCCTGGAACTCACTATGTAGACCAGGCTGGCCCTAAACTCACAGAGATCTACCTGCTCTACCTCCCGAGTGCTGGGACTAAAGGCGTGGGCCACCGTGCCTGGCCTGCCAATATGTTCCTCATTCTGTGATTTGTCTTTTTACTTTCTCTGCAGTGTCCTGTGAACTACAAATGTTTAAACATTTGATTATGTCAGCTTTGTTTTTTTCTTTAGTTGTTTGTACATTTGATTTCTTTAAGAAACTTGTTGCTGGGTGTGGTGGTGCATGCCTTTAGTCCCAGCACTTAGAAGGCAGAGGCAGGCGGATATTGAGTTCCAGGCCAGTTGGGGCTATATGCAGACCCTGTCTCAAAATTTTTTTTAATTGATCATGATATGGTTGACGATAATAAAGCGACTTCTATAGCCTTTGTAATGGACTGCATTCTATGCAGATTGACTATCAGTCACTAAAGTGCAGACTGCTGTGTAAAATGACTTGTGAGTGCTGACAGGCTGACTATACTGGTACTGCCTGTGTAGCACAGGACTCAGCACACTTTACACAGCCATTGTGCTTCACCATTGCTGTTCTGGTGAGATGCAGGAATAGCAGTTGTTGCTACAGGACTGCATAAGGTTAGGTGCCATTTGCCAGCACATTGGTTGCGCTGGGCCGGTGGTGTGTTACGACGCAGTGCACTTTTTCTGTTGCTGTTTTTCCAGTCATGTGGGTGATGTTCCTGTTATAGACAGTTTTTAGCTGCCATGTGGGTGCTGGGATTCGAACCCGGGTCTTCTGCAAGAACAACCAGTGTTCTTAACTGCTGAGCCATCTCTCCAGCCCCATTTTTATAATTCTTAACAAACTAAAAACAGAAGAGAATCTTCTCACATTGGTGAAGGATGTTTCCTGCAGACAGGTCAGACACCACACTCCCCTGGATTCCTTAACTGAAAGATGGGTGCTGCTGCCCCGCCTCCCTCCACCTCGGCCTCCTTTCTGATGACTCTCCATTGCTTTGCTTCATGCTTTCTTTATAGACCTGACTGAGGAGAACTTAGAGACAAGTGCATTGTGTGCCAGGTCATTGGTAAGTCCTTACAGGTGTGCGTGGATGTTTATAAGGCGAGCACTGGCTGCACCATCTCTGGGGACCAGTGGTCTGATCTCCATCATATTTCCAGGACCTGAAGCATGAAAAAACATACTTGCTGATCACAGTAGGGAAGACCATTTAGGGAGGGTCTTTTCGAAATCAGTCTTCATGCTCTGCCTTTGACTTCACAGGGCTCGCCTTTCATGTCATAATTAAATCATTGTCCAGTTCTTGCAGGGTTGGAAGAGAATTTTGGCATGCTTGGCCACAGGTAAGACTAGTCATCAGCTCCACCTTCTGCTTAGACCAGACAGCTGTAGATCTGGCACTCTGGGGCATGGTGCTGCCAGTATCCAGAACCCAGTGCTTTTTCATGCTAGACAACACCACTCCCTGCTTTGCTGCAGCTCTGACGTTGGCAGGTCCTCATTCTGTGACAGTAGCTCCTGAACACCATGTTTGAAAGGTGTACCAGTAACTTGTTTTCCTTGTTTGTTAGGAGAAAAAACAGCATATCACACTGTATGCTAAGCAGAGCCTTCCAGATTCTGAAGCACCTGTGATCTTTTAAAAAAACTATTATTACTGAGTGAGTGTGTGAGTGTGAGTGAGTGTGTGTGTGCACGCACAGTGCATGCATGCCATGGTGCATGTGTTTTTGGAGTCAGTTCTCTTCTTCCACCTTTATGTGTGTTCTGGGGATGGAATTCCATGAGCCATCCTGCCAGCTGCACCTGTGATCGTGATGCTTTCTTCTGTGTCTGTTGCAGATGTTGCCGCCATTGCATGTGGTCGTGAATTCTTGGTTAATTCCAGTCGGGTGCTCTTGGACACCATGTTGCAGCTGCTAGGGGACTTGAAGCCGGGCCAGTGCACCAAACTCAAAGTGTATGTAGATACCAGCTCACAGTTTCTCTCAGTTACACAGTACTTAGCATATGTTGACTGAGCTTCTCTGTAAGTAAACACAGTTGGTTCAGCAATAGTTGTAAAAAGCAGGAAACAAATTGCCTGAGGGCTTAAGGGATGTGTTATCACCTAGGTCATATTTTATTTTTGTTTTCTGAGACAGGGTTTCACTATATAGCCTTGACCTGCCTGCCTAGAACTTGTTATGTAGACCAGGCTGGCCTTGAACTCATCAAGATCTGTCTACCTCTGTCTCCTGAGTGGTGGGATTATAGGTATATGCCACCAAGTCCAGCCTCGTATTTTTTTTAATTTTATTTCAGATAGGGTCTTGCTGTGTAGTGCAGGCTGGCCTTAAACTCGGGTTCCTCCTATCTGAGGCTGCTAAGTATTGGGTTAAGTAGTATTTTAGAAAAATAAGAAAAGCAATGTTCTCCCCTTGGAGTAACCTGAGTCCTAAATACACGGGACACTCAGGGCTGTAATGCCTATGGCCTCAGATGAACTTCAGCAGGTGTTTGTTAGAGCAGTTCCCCACCTCACGCACCAAAGTCTGTAGCCACTTTCTGTATTGTGTAAAAGTCGCAACAAATTCCTGTGTAGTATCCCACAGTTTTATAGGCCTGGAGTCTGAGTGGGCTATACTGTGTTCTCTGCCTGGAGTCTCATAAACCAACACCAAGGTGTATTCAGCTGAGCTCTCTGCAGAGGCTCTGGGAGAAGCTGCCCCCCTCTTTCAGGGGGTCAGTTGAACCCCTCTGGGGCTGGCTGCGTCCCTCTCTCCTATGGCCCCATCAGGCCACAGTGACTCTTACAGCAGGCAGTGGCATTAGTGACCTTTCCTGTTGCCATGGCAGAATGCCTGACAAGGACAGCTGAGCGGTTTATTCTGGCTCGTGGCTCCAGGGTGCAGTTGGTCATGGTGGGGAAGGCCTGTGTCCATAGGCAGGAAGCAGAGAATGCTGGCACTTAGCGTGCTTTCGCCTTAGAATTATATTTACATTTACATATTGATTAATTCATTTATTTGTGTGTATATGTGAGCATGCACATGCATTGCCTAGTGTGCATGTGGAGCTCAGAGGACAATGAGTAGGAATGGGCTTTCTTCACGTAGTTCCAGGGACTGAACTCAGGCCAGTCAGGCTTGGTGCAGGGGCCTTTACCATGGACTCCTCTCACCAGACCATTTCTCCTTTTATTCAGTAGAAGACCCTAGCCCCGACATGGTGCAACTTGTATTCATGGGGGTTTCCTTCTCAATTAAAGGTTTCTGGAAACATCCTTGTAGACACACCAAGAGATGTTTTCCCATGGTGAATCTACATCTGATTGAGTTGACAGAGATTATCTGTCACTGTCTCTTAGTGTCCCCTGCCGCCCCTTCCAGAGTTTCATCTTTGCTTTTTGTGGGCTCCTGTGTTAGATTAGGTCTAGTGGATAAAGCTCAGAGCCTGTTGATTTGTAACTGTAATTATATCTGCAGAATCTCTTTGCCGTGTGATTTAACATTATCAGGATATGATATATACATATAAATGTGCATGAGTGTATTGCCTGCATGTATGTAAGTGCATCCTTCTTGTGCAATGCCCTGCAGAGGTCAGTAGAGGGCATCAGCTCCCCTGGAACTGGAGTTAGCATAGTTGTTAGCCCCCATGTGGGTGCTGGGAACTGAACCTAGGTCTTCTGCAAGAACAGACAGTGCTCTTAACTGCTGAGCCATTGCTCCAGCTCCTAGGGTAGGATATATTTATAATCTTGGGGATTACCAGATATCTTTTTGTCTTTCTTTGGGGGGGGGCTGGGAATGGAACTGAGTGTTACTCACTAGGAAGCATTCCTATGCTGGCTTGCAGGGAATTGGGGCCGTTTGAGGGTTCTCTCTGTGATACTACTCCAGGTGTGAGCTTTTGCTTCTTTGAGGGTTGTTTTACTTTAGTGCGTTAGTCTCCTTACATTCCATGGTGAAGGCTTCCAGGGTCCCTGCCAGCTTGGCCGTGGCATCTCTTGTCTTTTCCCATTAAGTTGAGATTTCCTTTTTTGCTTTAAATGCCAAATAATTTTGAATGCATCCTGGGCACTCAGAAAACTGTGTTAGAAGACTCCAGGTCATATTGAAACCATTTGGAAAATGCATTCGGTTCAGCTGGATGTGAGTAAAAAGTTCCAGCAAAAGCCTTTTTCTGTGTTGTGTGTCAGGATCAATCCTGTTTCTAGAATGCCTTTATTTGGGGGTTTTGCATGCTACTGGATCTGCCCTGTGTGTCTCCTACATACCACCCTGAGGCTAGTGTTAGCCCAGAGGATAGTGCTATGTATAATGAAGTCCACATATGCTCAGCTTGAGGGGCGGCTGGACATTTACAGATGGTTGTGCGGGGTTACTCTCCCGAGTTCCTGATAGTGCTCTGCTGATCCCCAGGGATCCCCTTTCCAGCTCCCATCTAGAGTGCTGAACCTTGGTGTGGTCTGAGATGTCATTACTGTCACTGCTTCTGCTGTTTATCTCTGCTGGCAGCTAGCTAGCTAGCAGGGGGGTTGGGAGACTCACTTTAAGGTGGGAAGAGACTCCTCCAGTGTCTGAGTTGCTTGGGGTTCCCACTACCAGTGTGGCTACCAGCATGGCTACCAGCATGGCTACCAGCGTGGCTACCAGCAGACCCCGTTTCCCTGAGTCCACACCAAGGGGAGCTGTTGCTGGGTGGCGCCTCATGCTCTGTTCTCCTTCCTTGGCCTCTTGACTGTTTGTCACGGAGCTCAAGGCGCTGCCTCATGTGTTCTACTCAGGAGTTACAGATGTACTCAGTGTAGGTTAGAGGTAGATGTGCTGTGACACTCTGTGTGGATCAGAGTCTAGTCTACTTAGCTATTTTGTGCTGATACATCTGTGCGCATGAGCAGTGTATATTGTGATGTGACTTGTAGGCATGTATAGTTTCCTTTAGGGGTAGTCTTACAATTTGTCTGCAGATCTGGGCAGTTTCTTTGCGGTCTCACATCACAGCAGTTGTAACAGTTGGCTCGTCCTTGTCTGATGGGTGTTTAGGATACTTTCAGTTTCTTTTCAAACGTAATGGCACAGTGAACACCTGGCAGATCTCTCCTTGCTGACCCATGTGAGACTGGTGTGGAATCTTTGAGAAGTAGAACATAGGCCATTTTCAGTTCTGTAAGGCACTGCCAAGTGTTCAGTTTTTCCTGTGTCCTTCTCAGCATCTCGTGTTTATTCCTGCAGAGAATATTTGTACTGTCAGTGCTCAGGCCACCAGTCGTCCCACCTCCCTCCCTTGATTTAGAGAACCAGTGAGGTTGGGGGTCTTTGTACAGGTTTGTCTGGTCTTCTCTGTGAAGTACCTTTTATACCCTTTGTTCAGCTCTTGCTGTGCTGATGTCCCTGTGTGTTCTAGATGCTAATCCGTTGCCTGCTTTACTTTTGTGATCTGTACAAGGTTAGAGTTAATGGGCCAGCTGAGCCCTTCTCCAGCTTCCCAACAAGCATTGTGTGAGGGTTAGGTCTCTGCCAGTCTTCCTCTGTCCTTTCTTGGCATCTGTGCTTGTGGAGCCCAGTGAGCTTCTGTTGATGGCAGTGAGGGGAAGGAACGGCCCACAGAACCACTGCACTGGCTTCCCTTCCCTTCCAGGTTTGCATAGACTGTCAGTTTCTAACCCCACTTGGGATCTTGGCATGGACCAGCCTCAGTGGCTTCCTAGAGTGTTTGGCTGCCTTCCACCAGGCTGCTTGCCACTTTCTCTGTAGGGCTTAGGCTCTCCTGCCCTGGCTGTCCCTTTGCTGCTGACAGTAGCCTTAAGTCTCTTGACCAGGACTGTGATTGACTGGAGCTCTTCTCCGCCTGCCCTCCTGTGAGGCTGTGAGTGCCTTTCCCTTCTCCCCACTACCATCGGAGGTTCCAGACGCAGTGCCTCAGAACAGAGTGAGGGGCAGCTCTCTCCCCACTTCTTCAGAGTGTGAACACCCTGTTGTGTCTACCCCCCGTTCTCCTTTGGAACCACTGCCCCCCCCCGCCCGCTTCCACTTGCCATTGGCCTCGTCGTTCCCCATTCCATCTCTAGGGACCGGAGTTCTTTGTGAGCATGCCACTCAGCAGTCTAGGTTCGCGTTCCCTCGCGTTCCTAGCCCCCAGGTTTGCTGTGCTCTTCCCTGCCTGTCAGTGGCTCCTGTGGCCCACCTTGCCCTTGCCGTAGACGGGCTGCCCTGTGCTGAGCTGGTCAGCAGTGCTGTGTGCTCACCACATACCTGGTCAGTTGTTTCTGCTGCTCGTCAGTCCTCCTCCCTCGTCATTACACCGTCCACCACAGGGCTTCCCTTATTTTTTCTCAGCTAGATCCCAGGTGTTCTGTCTCCCCATGCATCCAGCACTGTGCCAGCTCTGCTCTCCAGTTTTTCCATCTCTCCAACAAGGGCTGCTCGGTGATGCTCGAGAGTTTCTAATGCATGGACTCATGTCATGTCACCCCACCTGGTCCTGGGCGCTCCTTGACTCCCTGTCTATACCCCTATTTGGATGTTATTCTTATTTATACTGTGGTGAAGGCGGACTTCAGCTCTGTCTGTGAGCCCAGCACACCTCTGCTGTGTCTGCTCTGCGTGTCCTCTGACTTCCCAGAATGGAGTGTGTGAGAATGAACTGCCTCAGCTAGTCACCTCCCTTATTTATGCTACACTTGATCTTAGCCAAAAGGCCAAGAAGCGATACCTCCCTTATTTGTACATACATAACCTTCCTTTCTTTCTCATGGCAGGGGAATGTGTAGCTCTCTCTCTCTCTCTCTCTCTCTCTCTCCTCCTGTCTCTCTCTCTCTTTCTCCCTCTCTCTTCCTCTTTCCCTCTCCTCTTCCTCTCTCTCCTCTTGTCCTCCATCTCTGTGTACCTGTCCTCTGCTTTTAATGACCTGTCCTCTGGGATTTTGTTCAATTGGTTGTTACCTCTTGCTCCAGAATGTTTAAGTTTTCTCTCT